ACTCACTATGGCCCGGGTTGGTCTCGAACTCACAGCCATCCTCCTGCCTCAGCCTCCCGAGTGCTGTGATTATAGGTGTGTGCCACCATGTCCAACCTCAAGTGACATTTTTAAAAACATCTCTAGCAGGAGAATTTAATATATGTGCTGCCGAAGCGAGCATTCTAACAGGAGAATTTAAAACAAATAAATTTCATGAAAAAGAGAAAGAAAAAACTCACTGCACTGGAAAAGATGTCTTATTTAAATAAAGCCTCAAATCTAGAAATTTGGACTAAGATAATTTGGCATTTTAGTCCTTCTGTCCTTACAACAAATAGCAGAGCTCTAGAACCCGCCCTCCACATGAGAAGCTGGGAGAATCCAGTTCAGCTACACCCTCTTGCCACTGTTAGACATATCAGGCATATAGTTCAGTTTGAACCAGTGATTTTCCCAGCAAACTACAGGATCCAGCCTTTCCTCTCTAAAATGACAAAGGGCAGGGAAGGAAACGGAAGAGAAAAAAAAGCGAAGGCTTTACAATTCTTCAGGACTAAGAGACAAAAGACCAAAAGGTGTATGTGTCTCTTTGTGGGGCAGGGACAGAAGGAGTTATAAGAAAAAACCATCTCTAACCAAATGTCAATTCTTATTCTCCTCACTTTTGTGAAAGTGGGTGAGTTACCGCAATTAAAAAAGCCAAACCAAACCAAAATACAAACAAGGAAATGAGAACCAGTTCCATAATGCTCTATACTTTATACTTCTATCCAAAATTAAAATTCCCTTTCAATAGAAAAAAATCATTTAAAAAATCAAAGATAAAAATGCCTCTTGGAAAGTGGAGGATGCAAGAGAATGTCTTTCTGGCATATTTTTATCTGGCACAATCACAAGTTAAGACTTTACAGACATCATGTGGCTGTTCACATTTAAAGTTTCTACTCTAATGTGATTACTTTCGGGCTAAACAAATAAATTGCTTAAATGAAGTCCGTAAGCAGGCCAAGCCTGGCATACAGGGACACGTGTGATGCATTCTCCGCCCAAAAAATGGAACCTAAAGGAAAAAAGAAAACCAAGTCAGACCAGGTAAAGCTTAAGAACTAAATCAAACCACTGCAGAGATATCATTTTGCAGAGTGACTCGTGTTTCTTGAGTGTTTACTCATTAGACATTGTATGCAGCACTTTTCATAGGTCATCTTGTAAAGATGGCAAATAGTTTCATTACACCTATTTTATAGATGAGAGACTGAGGCACAAGCTGTCCAAGACTGCAATAGCTAGAACTGGAAGCTTGGCAGGCAGTGGACCGGAGAGAACACGTTTTCTAACTTTCACTTTTCTCATATTTTTTTATAGCTTCAGAAGCTCCTTAAGAAGAGCCCAACACTGTTGGCATATCCACAACTACACAATAATCAACTATAAATTCACAACGAATAAATATTAAATTCACACATTTGCATACAGATACTAGGTATCAAAATGCCGCGGGGTAAATTTTTTTAAAGGAACATTACGGAAGGAGGCAAGTTCAAGTCACAGAAGTGGAACTTCACAGGCCCTGACCTCTCAAGAGCAGGCTTACTTCACTCCCAAATTCCCTAAGAGCCCAGCCCGTGTCACCAGTGAGGCTGGACGAGAAGGGTCAACCAGTGAGCAGCACAGTGGCTCCTGTGTAAAAGGCAAGTGGAGAACACTCAAAAAAAAACCATGCCTTCAAGAGTAAGGTGAGCTGGAATCATTTTCCCTTCCCTAGAACTAGGGCCTTTTTGAGCATGTGCCAGCATTGCAAGCTGTGTGGACAAAGTGTAAACCCAGGCCTGGAGACCTGAGCCAGTCAGTGAAACAAGATGGCAAACAGCTCTGATTCAGGGTAACAGGAAAGGGGCTAGCTCTTGGAGACCCTCCATAGCTTATCAGAGAAGAGAAATGTATTCTTCCTTTCACCAAATACAAATACTGTATTTGGTATCAGTCTAAAGTATTTCCTGTTCTAGTCCACCAAGAGGCTGCCCCACACCAATTATCCATGCTCAAGAGAAAATCTGAGATGCATCTTCTAGATGCCTTCAAAGAGATTTTATATAAAAAGGCCATCTTCAGACAGTGGCAGAACCATTCTAACCTTACTTTGGGGCAAAACTGATAGGATGGACCCAACTCCATGGTATTCCAATAAAATAAAGTCCAATAATCTGGATTATCTTTTAGTGGTACCATGCTTGCAGTCTCCTTACCTCCTTTTTCCTTTTTCTTCTCTTCCTCTTTCTTCGTTCCTGCCTTCCATTTCCAAAATGGTTCTGGAAGGGTCAGGGAGTTGAGATCAATAAACACAAAGGGAAGAAAGGGAAGCAACAGGATGGGAGGGTTTGGTGTGGTCAGTGGGCATAGCAAGAAATACCTGAGCTACTGCAGTGTCTTTGTCCTTCTTACACATCATAACTGCCAAGGGTCTAACCACAGTGTCTACATACAGGCACCCTGCCCATGTGCTCAATGGAGACTTGTGCTCAGAATGGTTCTGTCACTGTGTGAGTCAAAGAATATGCTGAAGGCTGGCTCACTTGCTGCCACCGAGAATACACCAGAGGCAATGTGTGCTTCTATATGGGCCTAGACAGTTACAAAGAGACAGCATGAGAATTGATAGTGACCTTGACAATCTCTTCTAACCCTCAGGCTTTGAGAATTTCCCTTTCACCAAGCCTAAAACTTCTGCATGTACAAGTATTTCTCAACCAGGGACAATTCTGCCCACAGGGAACACTTGGCAAGATCCAGAGACACTCTGGTTTGTCACAGTGGGGTACTATTCATGTCAAGTGACTAGAGGCTAGAAAATGTTGCTAAACTTCCTAAATGTCCAGGACAACAAAGAATGATGTAGCCCAAAATGTCAAAGGTACTGAAGAAACAATACCCAAGAAAAATGAACCCAAAGTAAGTGAATGATGTCGAGCATGTCAAACTGTTAGAAATGGAGCCCACCAAGTATGCTATTTCATTTTCTCATTCATCAGACTTGTACCCAGTGCAGTGTGCATATCGGTCCTTATTTTGGATGGTGCAGTACAGCGATGAACCAAAGAGGAAGAGCCCCTAACCATCACGGGCTACCATGTTAATGATGAAAGGCAGAACTGGGAAGATGGGCAGATGGTCTCAATGCCCTTGCAGCACTCACAGGCTCGCATTGCATGCATCATGACACTATGATTGTTCTTTGGGTGGTGAGCACCCTGCAGGCAGCAGAAAGGAAAAATACCCCCCTACACACCGCCTGCCCTGCATCAGGCTTCACAAGACATTAAGAATGAACATCACCCCAACGTGACCAGAGAAGCAGCTGCCTCTGGAGGTGAAGAAACACGTCTGAGGCCACCCAGCTAGAAACTCAAAGTACTTGCAGGTGCTCAGTCCTATTTTGTCCCAGGCTTTCCTCTCTTTTCAATCACCACCATGACCTGACTCCAGGCTCCCTGAAGAGTGGCCTGTGTCTATTTTATTTATGAAATAAATAAAAATACTTAGCCTGACACATAACAGACACTCAAGAACACATCTGATAAATGATTGTCACCTCTACCCCACTCTTCTTGCACAGACTATCAACTCTTTCCTGAACATAAACCACTCACCATCTCTGGTCCCCTGTTGCACAACCTCGGCATGGCGCAGGCCCAGTAGGATTCAACCACCACCAAACTCACAGATGGAGTCATTGTAAAGTCAGGGAGGCTGCAGCCCCTCATTTGCATCGAACCTTCCTGAATCCAGGAGGAGCCCTTGGAATGTGTTCATGAAGTCATATGTTTTTGTGGAACTTTGCAAAACATCTTTGAATTCTTTTTCTTATTAAGGGCACCGAGACTATATAAGCATCAGTCTAGATCTGCCCCACCTGACCTTCCTGTAGGGTTAGACCGCACTGCGGGTCTCTTTACAATGGATGCCCTTTCTTTGCTCATTCAAACCCGGGGTTCTTTTTCCCAAATCCAGTCTGTACACATTCCTCCATCCTTACAGCCTTTCTTAATCCTACCAGGCTGTGGCAATTTCCCTCCTTCATTTAGATCTGTGAGCACCTAGTGACAAAGTGCTTGATATTTGACATTGTACACTCAGTAGATCCTTGCCCATTTTTTCACCAGCTAGATTTTGTTGTTGTTGTTACATGTAAGATGCAAATAAGAAATTAGAAAGTTTTTGAGCTGCTCATGATCATTATTGTCTATGCTCTTCTTTAGGACCTATAAAGGGGAAAGTCCTCATACCGAGCTTCCAAAATGTTACCAGTTAGCAAAGGGTTCTTGGTCATTGGTACAGAAATTACAAACTGGCAAAGTAGCTAATTTAGTGTTAACTACCCTAAGGTCTGAATGGTAGCTATCAGGTCTTAGAGCTAGAGGGCTTCCTTGCTGCTCAGAGCCAGCAGTTATCAGCAGGCCTTGAGAACTATTCTGGCCACTCAAGATTGTGGCTCCTAGCAATTCTCTGCAGCTCTTCACAGTTCTCTGCTGCTAGCTATCTATAGTGTTACCCGCTCTGGCTGCTGGTTGCTTTTAGTACCAGTAGCCTTTGATGTTAACAGCTCTTAATGTTACCACTTCAGCATGGTCTACTTGAGATAGAAATCATGGATAGGCAAAATGCCATCAGAGGGACAATATTAGGGCTTCAGCAGGGGGAACAGCACTTAGGCTGAACCCACTAAGAGTATGGAGAGTTTACTTATATAGGAAAAAAGGTGGGCACATGTAATTTGTGTCAGGCTTTCTATTTAGTTATGGGTAGGGAAGGGCACCCCCACCCACCCCCATGGAAGGCTGCAGATGGATAGAATCACCCAGAAAGGCTGCAGGGCACAGTCATCTAGGATAGATCTGTGTCAAAAAGCCCACTGTTGCCAAAGCAAGTATCTCCTGAAGTAGCTGTGAGGTACCAAAGGTAGACGGGCTGGCTGTAAGGCACTGGGGCAGGCATAGAAGAAATCAAAAGTGACTTCTGGGAAGGGTGGAGACTCCTTGTGGTGATTGGACTGTTCTGCATCTTGATAATATCAATGCCAACATCCGGCTTGTGATACTGCACCATGGCTTAGCAGAAACTGGGTGAAGGGTATGTAACACCAAAGTTGGGAAAACCTGTGTCAAGCACACCGACGGCTGGCAGATTGCTTTGATTTGAACCTGTAAGCACAGCTAAGATGCTACCCCAAGAGATCAATGTAGACAGTGGCTCTTGACATCCATGATGGGAAAAAACGAGGATGTGAGTATCCTGTGCTTTCTTCTACACATCCATCATGAAATTTTTTAGTTACACTGATTATAATTTATATTTATTAAAAGTTTAAAAATTTTTAAAGTTTGTATCTGAAATTATGTTTATAGTGCTTTGTCATAGGTTAGCTTTAAAATGGAAATCACTAAAAATTTTTCAATTTTTCTTTAAACAAATAAGATTCAGGTTTTTTCTTTAAGTTTTACCTTCATAAAAGGAAAAGATATATGTCACATTGTAGAGTAAAATAAAAAAAAAAGAGAAAATTGATGCTAAAAATGGTTATGTAGAGTCGAGTCAAGATGTAGTGCAGTGGCCTGTGTTCAATCCCACATTGAAGAAAAACTGGAGCAAATTAAAAACAAGATTTTAGAGAAACACAGTTGTGTTTAAATTTAAAAGATACAATAACAGGCAACAAAAATTAAAATATTAATTATATTAATTGAAGTATTATAGAAAATTCTACATAATACCTTGTCTTTAATATTTATTTTATCACTTAATTTTACTATGAGAACCAAAAATCTGTTAAAGAGTGTAGCTATTAAAAGAAATTCGAGGATCTATTTTATAAACAGAAGCCATTTCCTGTAGACATGACTCAGAAAGTTATTCATTACCTGTTAAGAAGTTATTAAAAATGAATACCTGTTAAAACTATTATTTGTTTAGAACGTATTTAGAAAATATGTTCTTTTTAGGAGGTAAATATTTATAGAGATACAATATAATTATCAACTACATAGTTGAAAACTATATAATTATAGAATGGCAGTGACTGTAAACTCTACAAGTCAACTGATGCATCTGTAATAAAAGGGTGAAATGACTTCAGTGGCCAACAGTCCCTACCTACATCTTTCAGTTTCATCAAACCCTGTTCATTTTACTCAGATGGATTTTGCTGGCTAACAAGTGAGCCAAACCAAAATGGCAAAATAATTTTCTATGGTGTCTCCATTTTTTTTCCATCTACTAAGAAATCATTAAACTTGAGTAGAATTAAATGCTGTACCATAATGTTTACCAGGATATATTTATGAAAAACTTTTTTCTTAATTTGTTTTGAGGAGACCAAAGAAAAGAAACCAGATTTTTAAAAAAGAAAATGTTAATTTCATCTGTAACAAGTGGCAACTCCAGGACTTACTCTTTTACTTTTTTTTTTTTTTTTTTTTTATT